TCGTCGTCTCCTACAAGAATTAGACATTCCACAAAATGTACCTACTATTCTCTACTGTGACAATACGTCGGCCATAGCATTAGCTAACAACCCGGTGTATCACGCCCGCACAAAGCACATAGAGATTGACTGTCACTTCATACGAGAGTGCATCAAGAATCAAAGCATTCAAGTTCACCACATCTCCTCCAAAGATCAATTAGCTGATTTATTTACCAAAGCTCTACCAATATCAAGATTCAAATTCCTCACTTCCAAGCTAATAACTCATACCGACTCATTAGCTTGCCAGGGGATCTTAGAGTCTCAGCATCCAGAAACGTCGAAAGCAAGAAAGGACGACTCTTAGACTGATTTACAATTCTAGTGACACGTGTAATGTTTCTATTTGTTATACATGTAAATGAAAGTCTATATATATGGTGATGTGATGTAATAACTGTATATACTGAAATGAAAATATTCTGAGATTTTCTCCACTGTTCTCCTCTCTTCCTGTTGGCTTTACCGCTCAAACAGGTTATCAATGTTTGCCTTGTAAGACTCCATGTCATGATTGATCTATATCTATGTATAGGTGTATATGATGTTGTAATTACTGTCCTTTTGTATCTGAATTGAAGTGAAACAAAGATTTCCCTGTGAAGCTCTCTCTTCCTCGCTTCCCTATCCCTCTCTCTCATCCAAGAAGCTCAAGAAGATGCTTCTTCTTCCTCCAAGAATCTAACAAAATTTTATAGATTTTAATTTTTCTCACTGATATATCATCAAAGATCTATCTCGATTGGGCACAAATCTTGAAGAAAAATTGAGTTGAAAGCTTCCAAAATTAAATCGGGGACCATGCAAGCTTTGATTTCAACAAAGTTATAGTCAAACTGAACGTCTTGGAAAGACAAACTCATCAACACCAAAACCAGCCAGATCTGAGCCCAAATGAAGGGTCCAAAACATATTTGAACTTTTCAAAGCTCAATTTGGAATACCAAACAAACTCTAAAGATGACATGCTTATATTCAAACCAAGCGGCTCGACGAGACAAATCCAACTAGCCCAAGATCACTGAATTCTGATATCATTAAGGCATTCAAATGACCATAAAACGATCAATGATCAAGGAGATCAATATCTGCCATCCATTCAAATCACTTCTATTTTGACCTTGATCATTCATATATTTACAAGTCAGGTCACTCTAAAAAAACTATAAATAGCCTACACTTTTCTCATGAGAGGGGGGAGGAAATGAGGAGAAGGGAAGAATTCGGTAGCTTGCTTGCCATCAACCACCGCAGAAGTTCTTTTCGACCACCGCCAGACTTCCGCCAGTCCGCCGACCACCACTGGAGTTCTTCCCAACCTCCAATGGACTTTCGTCAATTTGTCGACCACTAACAGACTTCCGTCAGTCTGTCGATCACCGCAGGACTTTAGCCACTCCTCCGACCACTGACGGAATTCCGCCAGTCCACCGAACACTGTCAAACTTATGATGGTTCCCCGACCACCACTAGACTACCTCCAGTATGCTAACCAATGTCAAACTTTCACCCATTCATCGACCACCACTAGAGTTCTTCCCAACAACATCCAAACTTCTTCCAGTTTGTCGACCATTATCGAATTTCGTATGTTTGTCGACCGCTGTCATACTTCTGTCTATTCGTCAAATATTGCTTAACTTCTTCCTATTAGTCTACCACCGTTGGACTTCTTCCTGCTCGTCGACCATACCATTTACAAACTTCTGCTTATTCGTCGACCACCGCCAGATTGAGATATTTTTTATCGCCGTCGGAATTCCACCCATTCATCGATCACGTACGGTCCACCCGACCTCTGTCGCGAGCCGACTACGGTCCTGCCGACCATCGCCGCCCAACTACGACCCTTCTGACCACTGTCGCCTGTCAACTACGCTAACTACGGTACTTCTGATCACTATCGCCTAACTACGGTATATGATCCTCTCAACCTCTCTCGCTCGCCGATTGCGATCTTCCAACCACCAATACCAACTACGGTCCTCTTGACCTTCGTCGCTTGCAGACTACGGTCCTTGCAGCCACGGTAGCTCACCGACTACAATCCTTTTGACCACCGTCTTCTAACTATGGTCCTTCCAACCTACATTGCTTGCCGACTATGATTTTGCCGCCCCAAACGAACATATCAATGATGATTCTTCAAACTCCCACCATATAATGCACTATATATGATGTATATTTGATACATCGAGTCAAAACTTTCCTTCTAAGCAGTGGCGGAGCTAGGATCTTTTATCGACGGGGGCGGCACAAAATTTTGACTTTAAAAATAATCTCAAACTTTTTCATTTTAGCTTGAAATTGACATTATGATTTTAATTTATTATTATTATTTTTAGTTATAAGAAGATAATTTCTATGATAATGAAAAATAAATTTATTGTCATGCTCATCTAAATTAATTTCAACACAAATTTATTTAAATTATATATTATTGTACTAATATATTTCAAGCACTTTTTAATCATATATTTTCATATCTAATTTAAATAAAAATGCAACTAAAAAACATTTTACGAGCAATAAATATATAAAAAACTATATCTTATTATTATTATAAAAGTATATCAAAAATATATGAAAATTTATATTAAGCATATTTTAAGCTACTTGAATTAAATTTAAATATTATAATTCTCCTCTAATGTAATTTGTTGGCTTTAATTACATAAATCTCCAATAAACTAGAATTTGAGTTTTTTAAAAAAATTGATGAAATTTTTAATTAAAAAAAACTATTGATGTGAAAATGGAGAGAATATAATCTCATCACTCATATAGAGAGAGAGAGTGATCAGGTTAGTGGAGGAGGTTGATATCTATAAAATAAAATGGAGTGAGAGAGAGAGAGAGGAAAGATGGCAAAAAACTATGACAGCCAATGAGCTCCCTATAAAGCAAATTTTTTTTGGGGCCGCCCATGTAAGGAAGCGACTCATTTGTAATCAATTGCAAACACTAGTGGATTCATTCAAATTGCGCTAAGGCCTATGATTTTTCATCTTTTCAGAGGTTTCCATATGAAAATTATGATGTCCTTTATAAAAGTTATAACCACATTCTCTAATCTGTTTGTATGTCGGGTCTTCATACAAAGCTAAGACGTTAAATTATATCACTCTCTATTGTCGTGAATTTTTCAGGACGCAACACTCACGTTAAATCCTGATATTTTTTTTTTCATTGTATTTTCTCTTTTTTATTTGTTTCGCCGTGGTTTTATTCCCAACACTGAGCATTAAATTACAATGAAATTGATCTACAAGTTATTAATTTATTTTAAAATGATTGTGATATAAACATTAATATTATGATAAATTTAAAAGTAATTTGTTAACTTCAAGATTTCATCATAATCAATTTTTTTTTTCATTTACTGTCAGATACATTAGAGTAAAATCCAATGTTTAATATATTGAAAAATATATCTATGTGTGATTTAGATATGTGACTTTAATGAATAATAAAAATGCAGCGATCGATCTACACGATCCAATTAGAAAATCAGCCTAAATGAAATAAGTGAACAAATTCAGACATTAAAATGCAGAATGGTTACTATGGATTTTACTGTATCGTCAAGCTCTCACTGCATTCATAAAAATATATAAATGAAATCACTATTTATTCCTAAACAGGTGATACAAATTCACGTTATTAGTTGTTTATCAAATACCTAATTGACCCATATGACATAACTCCCTCTCATTTTTAGGATAAATCATTACGTACGGTCACTGGATCATCCGAAGGCGAATCAGGATGCATCATGTCACATGATACACAACAATACACAACATCAATACACAACAAAATAATGGTGTATGTGACGCATCGTGATTCACCTCCGAATAACATGTGGTGACCGTACATAATAATTTCACCATTTTTAGCTTCCATTTAGATGCCCTAGAATATGACACCTAAGAAAAATATTAGGGAGCCATAAGCTTGATTTGGAGGATAACATCTTTGTCTCACTTTTTAGCTTACTGATCTATAAATGAATGCTAGTCATTCTTAATTTAAGACATTGGAAAGTGCCCATAACATGAGCTTTCAATGGACAAATGAGTGTCAGGTCGCCTTGAGCTCAAGACATACTTGGCTTCGTCATCAATGTTGTCAAAACCAACATTGAGAGAAGTATTGTATTGGTGTTTAGTCACTTCTCCTCATGCAATAAATTTGATCACAGTACGAGATGAGAATATTATATGATGCCCACATCTATATTATATTAGTTAGATGATCTTTGGCATAGAGGGATGCTATATACTGGCAGATAGGATAATATTGGGCTTATATAATATGTTTGGAAAGTAAGTTGTTATGTGTGGAATTTGATTGTGTTGATCAATTTGATTATTCTGTTGTCTCGGATCTCAAAGTTTATTGTGTACATTGGGGGGTGCGTGGGGTTTGCCCTTGCTTGGGTTCGGGTGCTTGACACTAAATTTTTTTTTTTTTTTCATATAAAGCCCATATATTGCCTGCCTGAGCCTCTCAACACTGAATGATAGAGAGCAGAGCACGACAACGGCCTAGATATGACACCGCATCGGTACAAGACAGAGGCTTGAGCGCCGCAACGTCCAAACTGCTGCGAGACGGACATAAAGTTTCTTTCTTGTTTTTCTAAAGGATTGCATCCCTTGAGTAAGTTTACTTGGCTTTCTCTTGTATTTTGAGTGTGTATATAATTTAGAACGGTGTATGTGAGAATATAAGCAATGAGAGAGTGAGAGAGAAGAGTGACTCCATCACGCTTACCAGTTTTTTACATCAATGTGAGTTTACTACTAGTCAATCCGATCCTTCGTTACTAATCTATAACAAATTAAAATAAAATTACAATTTACATTTTAATTTATGTTGATGATATTCTTCTAACCGGTAATAATGCTTTGTTTGTATCCCAATTACTATCCAAACTACATCAACGATTTCAAATGAGAAATCTGGGAACTCTACACCAGTTTCTGGGCATAACAGCGGAATCAACAGAAACTGGTTTGCTGCTTCACCAAAAACAATACGCGGAAGACATTCTTCGGAGGGCTGGTATGCAGAACTGCAAAGAAGTTGCTACGCCAACCTCCGTCAAAGCAGTTTGCTCATCTGACTCGTCTGAGTTCACCAATCCAACGCTGTATCGCCAACTAGTTGGTGCATTACAGTATTTAACCCTTACACGCCCCGATATCACATATGCAGTCAACAAGGCTTGTCAACACATGCACAAGCCTACGGACCAACACTTTGATGCTCTAAAAAGAATCTTACGCTATCTACGTGGTACTATTCATTATGGTTTACCTATTACAGGATCCTCCATGACTCTCCGGTCGTATGCCGACTCAGATTGGGCCGGTGATCATCATGATCCAAGTCTACCACCGGGTATTGTAATTTCCTAGGAGATACACTCATATCGTGGAGTGTCAAGAAACAATCTACCATAGCACGTTCCTCTACTGAAGCGGAATATCGTGCTATTGCTGCGGTTACTACCGAAATAATTTGGCTCCGCCGGCTTCTTCAAGAGTTGAACTTCGCTCAATCCACACCAACTACTTTATACTGTGACAATACATCGGCAATTGCCTTAGCCAACAATCCAGTTTACCATGCTCGTACGAAGCATATTGAAGTGGATTGTCATTTCATCCGGGATTGTATCAAGAATCAGAGCATCCAAGTGCATCACATTTCGTCCAAAGATCAACTTGCAGATTTTTTCACCAAATCTCTCTCTATCTCACGGTTCAAGCTTCTTGCTAACAAGCTTCTTACCTCCGGAACATCAGCTTGCAGGAGGGTATTAGAAGATCAATTAATAGAACCGTCTAAAAACAAGAAAGTACAAGTCTAAGTGCTGTACACGTGGACAATTGTAATTGGTGAAAGATTTAAGAGTTTAGTCTTTATATAGGAATCAGTGTGTTTGTATTCAGTATTCATTTTCACTCAATAAAATTCCTTTATGTTTTTCTTCTCTGTTCATAGCTTTCCCTGTTAGCTTTACCGCATCTCAGGTTAACAATTAATACCTTTTTCTTCATATTTTTATAGTGGATTTCTTTGTGTGGTGTGTCTCCATGGGATTTTTCCTATTATGAGTTTTTCCACGTTAAATCCTATTATCCTTTATTTTTTTGCTACTTTTACTTTCTTACTTATTTCATCATTGTGGTGTTACTCCTCATACTCAACAATAACAAGTGCCACCAATATTTTTAGTCGACAATGTTAGCATCTTTACCTAACTTTCACTAAATATCATATTTGATGCCTTTCATCCAACTAAACAAGTGATTTGTGGAGTTAGGAGAGTTTAACATCTAACAAGTTCTTGAAAATAAATAATTATGATAAAATATTCTTATATAAATTATAGCAGATACCAGAATTATTTTAAAATCATTAAATTTAAGTAAATTTAATAATGTAAAATATATTTTGATATAATTTAAATTAAGATTTTTTTTAACATACCTTATAGGCCACAGCTGACCTATTCAAAGCCTTTGAGCGCATTTGCAAGCAGCTAATAATTAATTACGTAGTTTTTAACATAGTCCTTCTAACAAAGCGAATACGTCGATAATAGCTCTTTGTATTTACATCATGTAATGTACTCCATAAGATGTACATCAAGCTAAGACCTTCCACCAAGGAAGGGCCTCATGTGTAATCGATTGCAATACTAGTGGATTCATTCAAACTGGGCTAGGCCCCGTTGTTTTTCCCCCTTTTCAGAGGTTTTCCACGTAAAAATCTTGGTTTTCATTTTCTCTTTTATGTTTGTGTGCGGAATACTCGTGCAACGCTAAGACGAATATTTCTCTACTGCCGCGTATATTCTAGCACGCAACAATTATTATTATTATTATTATTTTTGAAGGGTGAGAAAGATCTAAATTCTTCATGAGATAGGATAGACTCACAGGTTGAGAAGAATTAAAATCACACATGTGATTCATGACTTATAGAGAATAGGTAAAAGGAGAATAAAGTTTTTTTGAATCTTGATTCACAATTAATCTATTTTTGAGAATATAAGTTAATGGTGGCCTTGGTCAATTGATCTTCCTTTCCTTGATATTTTGACTTTTATGAACGAAGCCAAATTGATTTGAAGAATGCTCGCTGAATATTAAAGTTTTATTTGAAATAGTCTTTTTATTGATTTTATAAAATTATTATAGAGAAAATAATTTTTTAAAAATTATTGTAACAAGTAATTTATAGTACAATTTTTTTTTTCTAAAAAAAAATAATGATAAGACAGAAATTGAACTTAAGATTTGAAAATCAAAATAATAAGAAAATTATTAAAAAAAGTCTAAATCACACTTTGCATGTTTGTCTTATGGCTCGTTTTGACCCAAATCCATTGGCCAAAATATATTTTTTTCTTGGAAAAGTATATGTGACGTAGTTGCGAAAGCTAAATATTGGATTGACTATGGCCTGGTTTGGTAGCAGAACTCCTTATGTAAAATTTTGGTGAGAAATGGCTTTATCAAAGCTGCATTTTTCTAACGGAAAAGTAAAATAAAAAGCTTCGAAAATTGGTAAGATAATGGAGATTTGAAAAACGCAATTTTATAGAAGTTATGCATCCAAACACCAACCGAATTTACTTTTCACGTTTCGAACAGAAATGGCACTAATTAAACGTCTCAAACGGGGCCTTTACTTTGAATCAGAACTGCTTCTTCTATTTGTGTTAAGATCCTTGGGTCAATGAGTTTTAATTATTATCTATTCTCAGGCTTTATGGTCATTCGGCTTTCGCTTGGTTCAATTGCAACAACAATGTTAATCTTAACCCTTTCACTCAAGATGGGCTCTGACAATTGCGCAATATTAATGATGCGAACTATATTTCTTGCATGTAGTACTAATGCTGGACCTCCGGACCTTAGTTGTTTTGTTTTGTTTTTTTTTTTTGATGTCTCGACTTTTTCAGTTTGTTAAACTTACATGCAAAATAATAGTTGAGCTACATTTTGTCTACTGGGAACTATGGTCGCTTTCTTTTCAATGACGTTTGGAGGCGGGCTTTCTATATCCTCTTGGTGCATGTTATCATTTTGAGAACCGACAAATTTTATTTTTGGGTTGGGAAATGATGAGAAAATTAAACTCTATGGGTTCAACTAGGTAGTAAATATTGTTTGATGTCTTTTAGGGGCATTAAAATATATTTTCGAGTCGAATTTGGGCCCAATATAAATTTGACCAACTTTGTGGCTACCAATGCATAAATATTAGGAGTTTCTTTACAGGCTAGTAGCAATGCTGATCCAAAGGCCAAATTTAGGATTGTTTTATTCTTTCGAATAATGTTGGGTACTTTAACTCTGTTTGACAACAATCACAACCTTTTCCCTTTCCACTCAAATGAGTAGGTGTTTTATCTGCAATCATAAACAACACCATGATCATATTGCCATGATCTACAACGTATAATATGGCAGACAACCATGTTAATGACGTCGTAGAGCACCTCACATATTAATTTGTTTACTTATGGAAAATGTTATTCGAAACGTCTTAAAAATCAAAATTTCTACTCCTTTCTTTACCCAATTGATTTTATATGGGTGTGAATTTTTTGTAGTCTTCAATTGAAGGTATTATATAAGAGAACGAGACACAATGTTCTCAGTGTATCCATTATTGATGAGCAACTCACACACCTTGCCGTTCACAATGCATGCATCAGATTCAAAAAATGGCATTACATTGGGATTGGACTAGTTGATGTGGAGCTAGTAGTAATCGTTCAATGATACACAGAACTGCCTCACTCTCATTAGCTACTACTTCTTTTGTATGCTCATCACCATCATTTTTAACCATGTTTTCTGCATTTTTGAATTCCCCTTCAACAAACTGTAGTTATGGTATGTTAGGCCACTCATTGGACTTGTGTCATGATTGGAAGCACATATAGCACTTGAAGGAAGCTGGCTTCGGGTAGGGGTTCTCCTAATTAGGCATTGCTTGTTGTCACACAGGAAGTTTGGGTTCCCATGGATTGGGATTTCTCGGCCCAAGTGGATGTTTAACTACTGGTGAGGTGCTCTTTTGTTCAATAACATTATCCCGTGCTTGTTCATGACTTAAATGGCTCCTAGAATGTCGCATGAATTGCATTTCAACTTTGAGCGCAAAATTGACGCCCTATGATAACAACCAAACATAGTTGAGTTTCAATTTATCATGTATGGTTTCCTTTAATCTATTAATGTATCGAGCCACCAACAGATTATTTGACTCATCAAGATTGTTTCTTGCACTCAATATGTAAAATTCTTATGTATATTCATTAATATTGTGATTTCTCTAGATGCAACATTGATACTTCACATAGAGCATTTTGTTCATAATCAGTGGACAAAAAATGCCCACGTAGCAGTTGTTTTCATCTTGTACTAGCTCCGAACACCTCTTTTGCCTACGCGTAGACAAGTTTGTAACATTGTTGCCATCATGCACTAGTGCCTCCTCTCAACCAATAGACAGCATATTTCACCTGCTTTTGTGGTGCAATCTCCATATATGCTAAGAATAATTTTGACTGCCCTCTCTTAGTAGAGATATTCCTCAAATATTCAACCGACCGTTAAAGAATGGCATATCCATTTTAAATTGAAATTTATCATTAAGTCGTTAATGCCTTTCAAATGGTCGTCTCAACAATAGATTGATGAAGTTTCTCCATCATCAGAATCAGAACAGCCGAATTGATGTGGAATTCCCCATCCCCCTCTGAATAGATTGATGAACTTTTTCGATCGAGAACCGACAGAATTCTGCTGGAAGGTCTTCTAATTGTTTAGCCATTGCTAGGTGCTCAAATGATGCAGCGCACATGCCATTGAGAAATATTCCTCTACCAATACTGTACCAATATCACTCTCCACTTCACTTGTTTTTCTTTACAGCTATTTCCATTTAAGCCATTAGTTCTTTTTATCTTTACCCTTTTATGCTTAACCTGATATACTATTATGATATAGAAATATATATACATGTATTAAAGGTTGAAGAAGACATATGACATACAATTTGCTATTTGGTACTGTTTTATTGCTGTGTTCTTTCTTTTCCTCTAGCTGCTCTGCCAGAATTGCTTCTTCCTTTTTAACTGCTACGCCATCAACCCACAATGTTTTCATGCTCCGGTCATCGCCGAGAGTCATCTGGTGGTTGCCTTCTACCATTCTCGTCCGTCCCAAACGACTGCTCTGATACCAACTTGGTCTGAACCCCAAAGCAGCTCCGGTGACAACAGAGAACCTGCAAAGACAAGAGAGGAAAAGCAAAGAGCTGTATGGTTTTCTGTAATAGTAAATTGTCTGGCCGTTTGATATTCTTCTCCAACCCTTCTATATCCTCTCCTTTTCCCACATGCTGAGTACAACGAAAAAAAGCTATAGGAGTACGACTTTTACTAAAAAGAGGACAAAAGCTAACAGCAGTGGAAATAACGTAATTAAATATGCTGTTCTCCAAGCCATGAACCGCATCACATGCAAATGACAAAGACAACCAATTTTATTTTTTCATTGTGGGGCTTTCTCAAATTAGACTCATTTTTCAAATTATATTTATTGATTTACTTTGACAGAGAAATTAAGTATTCGTTTGGAACGACTTTTTTACTGTTTCTTAAAATTTTTTTAGTACAAGAATTATCTTTTTACTAAAAAGTTGTTTTAGTAGCAGAAAAAAACAGTCTCAGACGAAAACTAAATTTCCCATAAAAAATTTTTAGCTAATATCTATATGTAATGTATTGATTTTAATCCGGCAAGATAATCAGAGAATTTAAAAAAAGAAAAAGCATTTAGACAACCATTTAGCTTCCAATCCAATTCATACTACTCAAATGGTTCAACACATCCATTCGACCAATTAAAAGACTAAATGAACCCAAACATTGATACTCAATTAATAATGAAAAGAAGTCTAGTGAATGCAAAACCACTTGAGAAACATATATATGCTAAATTAATAAATTAAAAGAAGAATAGTGAATGCAAAATCATTTTGTGCTCTTCAAAACATAGAAAATAGAGAAAAATCTCATTACATTCACAACGAACTCCCATCGTAACTTTTGATCCAATAGGAACAACTTCGTAGAACAAGGTGAAGAAGCTTATTCTGCAACTCTGTCAAAACTCTTCTTCATGCGAACCACGTTGCAAACTACTTTCTTGACTTACGATCCAACATGGACAACCACGTAGTAGAAGAAGTTGCAAAAGCTTCTTTTATCAACTCTTTGAAAAATCTTCTTCACAGAAAGCAAAGAAGAAATGATCGTGAAGAGACTTGAAGCTAAGTAGGAGAGACATCAGAAGTGTAACGAAATCGGGTTGTGTAGATTTTTTTAGTTTAAAAAATGAATGATCAAGATTTTTTATGGGAAAAATCACACGTCATATTTATATAGTAATATAGATATTTTATAAGAGAGCAATCAAAATATATATTTTTTTCAATATAAGCTATTATTATTCTATAAGTTGAAACAAGTAGCTTAATTTTATAAGTTTAATACCATTTTAGTAGATTTATTCAAAAAATTCGAAGTAAATTTATTTATGCATTCAATAGTTGTGCTTTACTCAAAGAGAGGTCGACGCATCGAAGAAAATTTATGGCCGATGGTTTCAATTGTTCTAAACCTTGATGTTATCTCTATATTAGTGAAGATAAATCTTTCCTGGGTAGCCTTGTTAAATTTTTTTCTTTCATTTATTTATTCTTTTTTTGAAATCTTTTACATGCATGTAGTATTTTCTTTGTACAATAATGAAAGAAGCTATATATGTTATATTTGTAATAGAATACAATATGATAATCTTAAAAACATATTTTTGAAAGGGAGAATAACATTAATCATATATATTATAATGGCATGTCTTGACTGTGGGAATTGATCTTAGTGGTGAAGATTGACACCAAAGTTAGTCTCTATGGCGAACATTAGAATTAATAGTGATGGTAGACATTGATGATGATGCCAATGATAGATTTCTATGTTTGTGGTGATCGTGATTGCCAGCTTTATCATGAATGATGAGAGTTGATGTTGCTATCAATGAGGATTATCAACTCTATTATGATGTATGTCAAATTTTTTGATGATAATGGACATTGATATTTGTATTAACAATCGCCATCAACCTTGTTGGCTACATCTGTCATTAACATTGATGTCGACGATGAATGTTTGCATTGTAGTGATGATATGCATTAATGTTGGTGGAGTTAGAGAGCATCAATACTGGTGTTGATGACATATATCATTATTGTTAGCAACAATGACCATTAACATTGATATCAATGGTGGGCTTTGATTATTGTGTCAATAACATGGGCATTGGTAATGGAGTTGATAATGGGTATTAACCTTATTGGCTACAACTAACATTACCATAGGTGTCAGCATTGGGTGAAGGGTGATTGTCGATAAATTTATAAATTTTGTCAATTGGAAATTTTCATTATGGCCTCATCCTAGACATTTCAAATATGTGTTAGTGGAATCTATTTATAGATTTTTTAAAGGAACTTCATGATAATTTTGATAAGAATTAAAACACCTATTCAAATGACACGTATTGATCCTTATGAACATTTGATATTTTAGGAGCTCATAAATGAATGACACCAAAATACATTGAGCTTGTTAGCTTCGTTTTATTGAGGTGCATTTTCTAGGTATGTAATGGGTGTGAGTTTGAAAAATTTTTGTGTGTGGAAGCCGTACCCAACTGTACATCTGAAGACCAATCAAAATGCGCCACGTTATAGATGTCGAGCTGTAGTACCAAGCAGAAATGTAACATGAAATATTATGATTGATCTTCAAATTGCATTCCTACGTCCTCACAGAATAATTAATTGTGAATTTGTCCACCGAAATATATTTATATATATATATATATATATAAAAGTGCTTGTCTGGATGAAATTATTTATTGTTTTTCGAGTGACAGCACTAACCAGGTATTTGTATTTCTCTTAATAAGAGGGCAAATTATTGCATCCGGTCACCGGACGCGGAGATATGTCCGGATATTAATAAAATATTATTTTAAATTAAACGTGTCAAAAGTGTAGGTAAAATGCAGGTAAATCGCAGCAGGTAAAATATAGATAAAATACACCTAAAAATGCAATAAAAAATACAGATGATCTGACATATATATATATATATATATATTGTTGGGACATTTAAGCCATTTAAGGCAAACTCACACATACAACGCATACACAAGGACTCGAACCTTGAATTTCTTAGTTGGAAGCCTAAGCTTTCAACCAATAGGCCAAAAAGAGTTGTGTATCTGACATATTTTTATTGGATGTCCGAATGGCTGGATGCAATAATTTGCCTAATAAGAGCGCGCGAATCAAATCAGAGTGCCGTGCTTTAACTTATATCGATGAAGTGATAAACCTCAAATTATGAATTGGAAAAGAGACTGAGCCCTCATATTCTTCCTTGATGGTTACGACTTACGAGAACGAGAAGAACCATTCTCCAAGCTCTCAAACCCTAGTTTTTACTCTAGTGGAACCCTTCATGGACGAATCTTAGAGCGAAACCCACTGACCCATCCACGAGCTTGCTTCCACCCGTCGCCATGGACTCCCGTCGGCTCCCACGCGCCGTAATTGACCCCAAGGTTCGCCAGGTCGGATTTTTCACCTCCTGCGACCCGCCGCCGGCGAGATCTCTGTCCGTCCCTGCTGACACCGGCGCGTCGGCCATCGTTCCAACGGATATGTCCTCCTCCCCACCGCTAACCGATATCTACATCACCAACAACTCCTTCTCCTCCGTCAGGATCCCGCCCCCGCGCCAAGTCTCAGCGGAAGGCCTCCATTCCCTTGGTCGCGCCGCTGGATCCACGACTTCTGTATTCGCTCACGATGTTCTGTCGCCTCACTGTTGGGAAGGGATCCAGATGCCGATCGGGAGCTACAACTCGTCGGAGTTCATGCAGGGCAAGTCTTCGATGCTTTCGCCGTCGAGCAGCCGGTTCGATGATATAGATTTCTCGGAGGAAGAAGCAACTTCTGCTTGTCTCATACGGACAGGGTCCGGCAAGGAAGCGGCTGCGTTCCCTCGGAGCAGCGGGGAGGTGATGATGGCTATTAAAAGCGGTGCGAATGCTCCGGCCAAGAGCGCGCTGAAAACTGCCTCTGTGGTTAAAGCACTGCCGGAAGTCACTGGTATGCAATGAAATTCATGATTCATTGTAGTGAGATTTAGAGTTTGTAGTTTTGCTTTAAACCATGTTGTTAGATGAGAGTTAGATCTTCGTGGTTGCGTTAAATATTTTGGCAGCGGAGTTAATATGGCTAGGGAATTCTGAAATATTTGGCATAAAAGAAATATTTCAATAAGTTTTCACAGAATATACAAAATTTCTTAGGGAAAAAATTAGATAACTGACAAAGGTGGATCGGGTGTCTACCTGGATTGAAGTAATAATCAAGTTCGAGATTTGTCTATGAGTCATTAAAAAAATGATGAATTCAATTTTTCTTAATCTTTTGGTGATAAATTTCATGATGATTCAGATTTTTTAAGTGTTGTATAATTATAATACCTTATGTTTCTCACCAAATAACTTGATTCTCAAGCATAAAGATTGGATAATTGCTAGAGTTGGATTATCATGCCAAAAGGTTTAAATCTGCTGCATGTTCGGTTGAGTTTAAAAATAACTTTTTTTGGTAACCTGTTGTGTACTTGCATTCTAATTGGCAAACAGTTAGGAAATAACCAAAGAGAATCATATCAAATTATCAATAAATTGAGTCCTCAAACTATGATGCCAAATCCTCCAAGCATATGCACTATTAAATCTTCAAAGAAATTTTTGCTGATTTTTCAAAACTTAGAAAGTTAGAAAGCTAAAATGCAGGTTGTAGGATTTTTTTTTTTAAAATTTAAAAAATGGTATGTGTGGCCATCGTTTTTAGGTTATAGGAAATTTTCATTTAACCAATCATAATTAGGTTCTTACGAAGCATAAGGGATTATTTATGGAAAGAATTTGATAACTGAATTGGATGGTAGCTTCAGAGTTTCCAGTATTGATGACAACATTGGCTAGCTGAATACTAGTGCCATGTTCCAGTTGAACGATGAAAGGAGTATTATGTAGTTCCATTATGCACAAATAAGTAATCGGAAGTTGATACATCATCCCACACCTTCAAAGTGCTGAGACTAGACATAATGAAATAATATATGTAGTAAATTTTATTTGATTCCATTATTTTAAAACCCTAATTTAAAACCTAATTTTAATAAATTTATTAGGATATTGATAACTTTGTTGTTATTATAGTTTATTCATGGTCAATTCTTTGACCCTACTCAAAAGACTAACTAGACTATTTTAGAGCAAGTAAAAAGAGTCGGAGGAGTAAGAGGAAAAGCTCTGAGGCTCTATATCTTGTTTGTGAACACTAATTGACATGAAGTCCTAAAAAAATAAAAATGCCTCTTAACATTGTATTTATAGGGCCAGGAAGGGTACATGAGAGGCTTCACCCAATGAACAATAAAATAATATATGATTTGACTGCTACACATATGTGGATAAGGCTTTGGTAGCCACACATAGCTATTTTTGATGTGGCTTTGGGATACTTTAGACGAATTTGCTTCGGTTGGTTACTCAATGAGCGAGGCTAGTGATTGAGATGTTGGTCGAGTTGATAAAGTTGTTATTGTTAGGTGGATGAGCACCTCCTATTGATTGGGTGTAGATCCCTTGGCTCGAGTCAAGCACCTCAACCGGGTGAGTTCTTTTGAGGCGAGTGCCTCTTAGGTGGATCCTCCTTAGTTGGGGTGAGTGTGCTCTTTTGTCAAGCTCCTCTGAGGCGAGTTCATTTGATCTCCTTGGATTCCTTAATGAGCATATCTATCTCGATAACTAGCTTTGATCTGACATTGGGTCTATAATGTTCATGTTGGGCTGGAACGCATTGACAAAATAATTTAGTATTTTAAATAAGATTGCACTTTACTCGTTTCAGTTCATTTAGAACCTTAATTATGTACAAGGAAGTGGGCATGTGCACTACTATTCTAGTAGAAATGGAAACGAGGAGGTGAGTATTACATGTAACTTGTTTCATATAGTGCTCAGCTGAGTTTAATGTGGTTGAAAGTTTAATTAGAATTTTTTTTATTAGGTTTTCTAATTTGTGAAGGTATTTTAGAAAGGGGGTTAAGAGTTTGAATTAAAATTGAAATTTCTATGGAATGTCAGATTTGAGGAGTTGTTGAAATTTTTTTGAATGTGGTTGAGAAATTTTAAGAGGCACGATAATAGAGAGAAAAGAGAGATGGGGTTAGTGATCAGGAAAAACAAACTGAATTTTGAGTATTCTGATTTGGAAGTATATGTTACTTATCACGTTGGGCGGAGGGTTTGGTTTGTGGTAATATATGTTGGAGAACTTTTGTTTTTGGGGCAAGGTAAAGTAACGTTTATTCATGCATTTTAATTTTTTGTGGTATGTTATGAAGTGTATAGTAAAAACTATTGCATTCCAAATAATCATAATTTCTCCGACAGAATGTACTTCTCCACTGGTATAGAGGCAAAAAAGTCACTAAAGAGTTGGTCGGTCGATCACAATGCCACCCGTTAGAGTATGTTAAAGTCGGCACATACCAAAGTCTTCATGTCCAAAATTTCTCAATCTTTGCCAATGATGATATCCATTCTCCTCTCCCTTGCCATTGATAGCCAGTATCTTCAAATCATGAACAGTGGGCAGAATAATTTCATAGCTGTGTTGTTGCGTACAACTAGCTTTGATGAAATGCCTATTTTCAATGGTGTTTTTTTTGCATGAAATCTTATTCCAATAGAAGTATGTCTATGCTGATAAAATAAAGCTGCTGGGGGTTGCTGGTTTCATCCTCTTTGGTTAATTTATGTTGTGTTCTTTGAGTTATGTAAACAAAGCTTTTTTTTGGTTATTACTTACCTTCTTACACTTGCAAAATAGGTATTGGAACGTCACAAATATATTAGATGCTTGGTCTTAGAGATAATTGCAACACTTATTGTCATTTGAGTACTAGACTTCAAATTTCACATTTAGTTAAGTCAAAAAAAAAAAAAAATCACTTGTTTTACTCTACATCAATCCAAACTGTTACTGTTAAATAAATTAAGCTGCATTTAATTTGCTCAAATAATCCTTAAATAAATTTATTTTAAACACATAGAACCAAAGAACCCTCGAGAACAATTGTAGTGTGCGTGGATCAATTCGTAAACGGGTATCATAGTGTAAGATTGATAGTTTTTACATGTAGCTAATTTTCCATAATCACAGGCATTCAGGCAGCAGTTCCTTTCCACTTTTCCTTTGAAGGTATTTAACTTTATGTATTTCTTTGATGTTGATATATTAGATGAGGAGAGCCTTATCGCAGATGCATGTTGCGAAGCTAGTTTAGTTATTGCAGATGAAGGGTTCTTGTCTAAAGTTCATTTCTAATTTTTTTTTTGTTTATGATTCCTCATTGTAGCATTTATATGCAGATAAAAATGTGTAGCAAATACAACTTTTTGAATTTCTGATCAAGGAACTATCCGCAGAGAAGGATGGAGGAACTTCTATTGAAAAACAAAATGAAGGGATTGGGGCTGCTAGATCCAAACAGAAGACAACAAAAGCAGAAAGGCGTGCCATTCAGGAGGTTCAGCGTGCTGCAAAGGCTGCAGCAAAGGATGCCGGTAACCTTTTATTAAATTTTTTTTTATTACTGAACATACCTATTCTACTTTTTTTTAAAAAATGCATGGTGGTACCACCATCAATTGATGGTAATGCATGGTAGGGAAGCCCAAATACTGGCGTTCTTGGTTAAACCTGAACAAATTGGTCAATGAACTTTGTTTCTCAAAGGCAACGGGTAAAAAAGCTAACGGATTAAGAAATTTCACTTCTTGCGTTTTTGAAACCAGATATCTCTCTGGCTCCTTCACTTGTGAGAATAATATCCAACTCCTTTTTTAGAATACAAGTTTTAAATCATTCTTGTTTTTTTCATGACAGGATCTTTTTATTTTACTTGAAAAGTTAGGGAGTCCCTTCTCCTTAAGTGAAAGAAAAGGAGCAGGATCTAGTTTTTGTTAATGTATTTTGAAATTAATTTTAACCCTCTTTGTTTGGTTTGAGAAGAAATTGAGTGAAAAATAAATTTTTTGTTTTTGTTTGGTCTATATGAAATTGAGTTTTTGTTTCTTGTGAGGGGACATGTGAATCATAGTGATGACTTGATAAAGTTTTTGATACGGTAGCAGTATCCAAGGGAGAAATTTTGGCCCCTCTTGTGGGGCCCAATAATGAATTAATTCATTATGTTAGGAAAGTAATTGTAAGAAGTATTAGTTGGGAAAAATTTCTAATTGAATTCAGATTAATAAGGGAAAGATTTTCTAATTGAATCTAAATTAAAGAGGGAAAGATTTTCTAACTGATTCCAAATCAAAGAGGGAAATATTTCCTAATTGAATTCAAATTAAAGGGGGAACGTAATAAGGAAAGAAATCTATTTTGGAGGAAATTTAAGAGCTTATTTAAGGAGGGGTTCAGGGTTATTTTTCTTTATGCATGGTTTGAGTTTGTTGTAGTTTTTTTAAGGGCTTCCTAGCGGTGTCTAGGTTGTTTGGGAGAGCCCATCTACCTCTCAAATTGTAGATCGCTTGTATCTTTTGTTTCTTGTTGAGTTATTAATCAAAATCATCCAATCGTTTCTTCTAAATATACTGTTTTTGCTATTTTTAAGTGGATTTCCTGCTATTGCTTGCTGAGTTTGACTCCAAGGCGTATCAAATTGGTATTAGAGCAATGTTATGGGCTGAAATTTCAGCTCTCCTTGTTGATTTTTGCTGTGTATTTTATCTTCATCTTGCTGATTTTTGCTATTTGAAGACCAGAGTCGCCTTTTTTTGCGATTTGGAACCTAGATTTGTGAATGGCGGCAAAGAAGATTGAGACGTTGAAAGGGGAGATGGAACAATTTAAGACGAGATGAAGGAGAAGTATTCTAGAATAAAAGGGAAGTTTACAACGGTGAAAGGAAGGTTGTCATCCATGGAGAACCGATTTGAGAACATGGAAGGCATGATGAAAAAATTAATCGGGATGCAGTCACAGACTTCTCCAACTATTTCTAGGGCTGATCTGAAGGGAAAGATACTCCAGGAGAACGATGATGAAGTGGAGATGGTTTTCTCTCAAGAATCATCCCAAAGGGGTTGATGGAAGGCGCATCAAGATATCTCAGAGATGGGGCATCAATAAGAGGGGAGGTCGAAGCTTTCTGAAGACCACCTAGGCAAGAGGGAAGGTGGATCGGAGGAAGAAATGGTTGGGCCGAACCATGGGGTCCAAATCAGCTGAGGGAGGAAAGAGGAGAATCACAGTACAACTATACGGGAGGAACTAATGGAGGAAGAAACTATTGGGGCATGGATGCGAGATCGAGGTTACTAAAGATGTCGGTCTTTGAAGGGGAAGATGCTCAGGGTTGGATGTACCGGGTGGAGCGTTACTTTGCTATCAGCTGGCTGATGGAAGGGGAAAAACTCATGGCAGTGAGCCTATGTTTAAAGGGAAAAGCATTAGCTTGGTTTTAATGGAGAAAGGCTTGATATCCGATCTATTTATGGGCAGAATTTAAGGATTATTTGTTGCAAACACCCACAAGTGACTGTGGAAGATTCATTATACGCACGATATATTATCCGCAAGCAAAATGCCAAGGGCTACAACAAACATGAGCTTCTACGAGCTGCCGTAGAAGACCCATAAAATATCCCAAAAATGCCCGAACACGTGCACTATAATATGTATACACATACACAACAGGGCACATGCACACATTAACCCATACATATGTAGGAATATACACTCGCATGGGCCCCGACGAGTGTGTTATGGGTACACACGTGACCTTTAGGGATGCTACGCAGGTTAGACAATAAACTCAAATTTGAGCTCGATCCTCTTATGTATGTAGATAGAAGTCGACACAGCTCGAACTATCAAACAAATATAGGGTCACGATGTCGACTGAGATATTTATTTTCATACGTTCATATTAGATCTTCAAGGTCTATAATAAGAAAAATCCATTAAATAAACCTACAAAGCCGGCAATGAACCCAATCCTCTATCTACATCTAGACAGAATCAACAAGGTTCGATAGATGATTACAAAAATACCCCCAAATACCCGCATGGGCCCCAATGAGCATGTTGTAGGTACACACATGACATCTGAGGATGCTACGCGAGTCAATAAATGAACTCAAGTTTGAGCCCGATCCTTTTATGCGAGTGGATAGGAGTCGACATGGCTCAAACTATCAAACAAATATACGGTTATGGCGTCGGTCGAGATATTTGTTTTACAAGTTTATATTAGGCCTTCAAGACCAATAACCAGGAGAATTCACTGACAAAAAATATAACACTGACAGTGAACTCGATCCTCCATCGACAGATTGGCAGAGTCAACAAGTTTTAATCAATAAAATGCAATTGCTCATAAATATCCCAATGATGGCCGCGTTGACAGAAAATCTCAAACGAAGGGATCCACACAAATCTCAAAGAAAAATGCCTTCCGAATTCTCAAATGCCCATCAAATCTAAAATCCAAAAATATAAAAAATTCAAATATTTAAAATCAAAATTAACTACCAAACACTGAAAACAAAATCCATCTATCTTCTGCAATAGTTTTTCGAGGTGGAAAAATTTGAAAATACATTTTTGCTCACAAAGAGCTAATATATGGTCGAGAATATCACTAGTATTAATTCTCAAACAGTCCATTGTTAGCAAGGACGTGACATATGCTCTTTAACCGGTGGTTTTGCTGTCAAATGACACAGCTGGTAAACTGTTATGATCGGGGCTCTCTGAACCGGGCTATTTTCCGCCAAATGACACCACTAAATTTCGCTCATGGTCAGAGCCTATATGCTCCCCAATGACACTAAATTTTTGTGATATAAATCAATATGATATGATCGATAGTGCACAAAATCCTCTGTTAGTTAAGGTGGATTCAAATTTGTCCCCTTAGACAAATACCCACCCCAGTTTTACAAGGTACCCTTGGATGATGCAACTAATGGTGCTGACAAGGATTCTTCTGTTAGGTTGGGTCAACTACCTCCTTTGACTAAGTATACCAAGGATCACGATGGCCCGGGACGACGGAACCATGGGATCTTGATCGGGCTCATATTCACCCCTGCCACCCACTTTAAGCGCAAGATGGTGATTTAAATTTTAAATATCAGACTTTCAAATACCCAAACCAATCCTGCTACTATATGCCAGATATCACATATCTACGGGTATAGTGCATTCATTTGACGACTAACCTTAATCAAAAGTTCTCTCTCGTTACCGGGAGGGATAATTAACTATAGGGGCTTGCACCTATAGGAAACCAGAACTCATATCATAAAGTCCTCGCAAATTGACGGTGAAATTTCTAGGTAGTGACTTATTTACAAACCCAATCCGCCTTCTGAAAATTTGCCCCATAACTTAATTTGTTAAAACTTCCCCGAAAGCAACGAGGGGAGGCCAGGACGCGAATTTTTTGGAGCCCACACTGACTACTTATAATTATTCATGTTCTTTTTATCCAACAATTATAACCTATCACCTATGTCTTACTCATAAAAGTTCCATCAAATGCGGTGTGGACTAGCATTCTAGTAGTTCATGTCCCGTTTGGAAATAAACCTCCTCAACAAGTCTTTATATCTTTCCCAAATATTGTATTATAGTGTCTTTTCGTGCATCTATATAAAATTGGATATCTCGATATGCATTCTTGTTGCCTTCGTTGGTGGGAAGTATTTTGATAAGGATTTTTGGGTTAGATCATCCTAGTTAGTGATCGAATCGCTAGGTAGCGAGTTGAACCAACTCTTTGCTTGATCCCTCCATGAGAATGAGAACAATCTGTTTGATTACTTCATTGTAGACCTCATTATTTTTGAAAGTGTCACAAATCTCTAGGAAATTTGTAATGTGATAGGTGGGGTAAATTTGTAATGTGACAGGTGGGGTCTTTCGTAACTAGGTTTCTATATCATGCATTATGAATTATCTGCTATGTTGCTGGCTTCCTTTAGAAATTTTTTTGCCTCAACCTTTGGCTTGACAATGGCTCGGGTCTATGATGCACAGATACAGACACAACACGATACAAACATGTCATTTCTTGAAAAATAGGATACAAACACGGGTTGGACGTACTATTTTAATTTTTATTTCTAGAAAAATAGTGTAGAAATTGAATAAGCATAATATTAAAAATAATTGATAAATAATACATAATTTAACTAGGATCTGTGCTGAAAATGATTAATATCAAAATGTTGAGAGTCGGGCGTGGATGTCATGTCTGACTTCAAGAGGGGAGAAGATAATGCCATCAATAGTCAGGCGTCGATGTCGTATCAGTGTCAGCCCTCAATGTTGAGATAGCGTCTATCGTCGATGTTGACATGACTTTGGACAAAAATGAGATGTCAAGATGTCGTGGGGGCGTGATTGTGGGAGTAAAAATTGTTGGCATTAAGCATCAATGTCAAGACAACACCAGGCTTCAATGTTGAGATAAATTTTAAAACATTGTTGTTACGACATCGGATAGATGACATCATCCATTATTGTGAAACCTTAGTCGTCACCCGCTAGAGCAAAATGAAAATGGGAATGTTCTGGGAATGAAATATTGGGCATGGACAATTGATTTAGGGTTATGGAGAGAAAATAAGAAAATTAGTTTTTAAGAAATTACATTAAAAAAATACATAAAATATTTAAGACACGTGTATTGGACATGCGTGTCTAATTTATTTTTAATATTTTTTAATCGGAAACTTCATTGGTATGCTCCACACGTGTCAGAGATGTGTCAATCTCGTGTCGTGTCCAATACATATCGGATACTGCATATCTCTATGAGGAGAAGTGTCGGTGCATCATAGCCTATGGTATATCCTGTATGGTTGACAAGGCCTAGGATCCCATAACTAGGCCTATAACATTTGCCTCAAAATTTGTCATAGTGAGTGGTATAGGACTCATGGCTTGTCTTCTCTCGCTGTGGTAATTTGCCACAAAAATGGTGAATGCACTAGACAACAAAAAGAAATAAAATATAATGAAAACAAAAAATTACATAGTTCGAAGTAGGATTTTAACTCAGTATTAATATTGACGATCACAGTCCCCAACAACGACGCCAAAGATGCATTACAATTTGAATGCTCATGCAATAATGCAAGACTACTTAAATAATAAAGTGATGAATATTGAGTATCATCTCCCAGAAATTGTCTATGCCAATTACTTAAATTGAGTTGTTTTTGACTTATTTGAAGAACCAAGATAGAGTGGTCAGTGGTGATTTGTGCAAAGAACAAAAATTGCTATATAATAAAACAAAATAAAAAAACTTGTCGGGTTGTAAATTAGGAAGACTTAGTATATGGATAAGATTTACCAAGGTTTATTTTATTAATTCGATTGCAATACAATTAAGAGCTAAACGTAATTTTGTTATAATCAAATCTAAGGTCATTAATCTCTTTCCTCAACTTTCCTATCATCTCGATGATGGATTTGATGCAAATTTGATTTCAATTGTATGACACAGGTGATTTATTAGATTATATAAGTTGAGCGTAGATATCTTTATTATATGATCCGTTGTAATATTTCACATACGATGAGTTTGTGTTTCACCTTTCGATGTTGAATGGTTTCCCTAATCTTCTAATTGATGACCGGATAATCATAAGTCTTTTAACATATGATGCGGGCAAAAGATATAAACCAAGGAGTCACCTCATGGGAAAAGCAAATTCTTGGAATTCCAAAGGCCGGTTTGGAATTCCAAGAGACAAACATTAAACAAACATAAAAAGCATAAAACTATATTAATTAAAAGATAATAAATGAACTAAAATGTTAGCTCATAATGAGCTAACCCTTAGTTCAATAAATGAATTAAAGTTCAGCTCATAAATGAACTAAAAGTTTAGCTCAAATATGAAAAACTACTAGACTCAAGGGAAGCCAAGATATGATTTATTTTGGACTAGTGTTGACCCCCCTTTTGTCTACATCAACATAGGATGAATATATAGCAACATAAAGGTATGAAATCTCAAATGATTGCATTCAACATTAATCAATAAAAGTACAACAGAGTACACCTAATCCCTAAAAAGGGATTTTAGTTCATACTTGATTGAAATAAAATAAAAAAATAGAGGATGGCATACAAAAACATTATAGGAAGAGAAAGAAAGTACTCAATTTGGCAAGCTCTTGCTTCACGTTGCTTGGTCTCCTTAACCTAGTTGCCTCAATAACTGCTTCCAAAGCTATCTCCAAAACTCCCAAGGATGGCCAAACTGTCTGTTTAATGCTTGGGCCCCCAACTCTCTATCAGAACTCCAAAATTTGCTATTTCGGGTACTTAAGTGCTAGAATTGGGTGTCTGGGGGCCATGTCTGGTGCTTGTGCGCCCAGAATTGGTGCTAAGCTCCTGAAGTGAGGCCTAGGCAGCCAAGACAAGGGCCTAGGCTCCAGGACATACCAAGACCTACTCAACTTGCTTCTTTTGCTACAATGGTTATCAAATTATCGCTTTCTTCCCATTATGCACATGATATTTACATGAATGAGTCTTTACCTGCATCAACAAATAAATGTAAGTTAGTGTAATACATTTCTTAATACTAAGCAATAATAAAATGGAAATTACAAATATTTAGCATGGTAAAATGCTACTGAAATGACACCTATCAAGCACTTGGAAAGAGGGGGGAGAGAAAGAGAGAGAGAGAAGAGATGGCTAGGTTGTTAGAATTTAAAAGTATGTCATTATTTGAGGCATAAAAATATTTATAATGGACCCCTATTTGTGGAAATACAGGGCAAATTATATTCCTAAAAATCATAAATTAAGGGACATAATGCGAGCCCTCCTTTGATCCCTTCTTGCAACTGGCCAAGCAAGGATAAGGGAGAGATTATTGTGAAAATTTAATTCATGCATCCTTATTTGTTGCCACTAATTTCTCTCTTTTCTTAATCCATAGGTTGAAATTTGACTTGGTCTTCTAGCTTTGGCTGACCCCTTTAGTATAATGATTTGATTGGGGAATATTCTCTTCTACTTGTGGAAGGTTCTCCAGATCTTTTGTACAGTTCTCGGGTCCTTTTTGGGAGGATTTAGAAGCTTCTTCTAGAATATTCTAAAAGCTTCTTTGATCCTCTTGGATTATTTGAGAACAGATAAACAAGTGCGTTGAAGTTTCTCTTCATTCAATAACCCTGTTTTTGTATATTTCTGACAATAGAAAACATTAATGCTACAAAGCACAGTCCATCTATGTACTCTTTTCTCTTCAGAAAATATGTAGTAGAAACTTACTCCACAGTTTAAAAAGCTTTTTATTATTTGTAGTATGTTTTAAGAAGCTTTAAGATCTTATTTAAGATAGGTTAATCTTATGTACTATATTAAATTTGTGCATCTGATTCTGCTGTTAAGTTAATATACAACAAGTGATAGGACACCGCTCTCCATGCTGGTTCCAACACTTTAATTCCAACTCCTTTTACTGTAAAACAAAGTCTATAGATATATATTTGGAAACCAGTTTAAGCTTTGATCTAGCTTGTGTTTTGCAACTTGCCATCCCTGATTGGATATCAAATTGTGCATGCTGCTGACATGTTGATTTTTTGCAGGCAAAGGGGCCAAATCTACATTTGCATCCAGTGGTGGAGCTCTTGCTGTTGCAAAACAAGCCAAGAGTGCAATACTACCTTCTCAAACGAAATATGGGTCTTCTGTAGCTTCTGAAAGAAGGGTTGACCGTAATCCTGATAAAGATGGAAAAAAAGATGTTTCTCAGTCCAGCATGCAGTTTGATGATAAAAGTCGGGTTGAAAAGGCTAAAAGACGTGCAGCTGTTGGTCATTTTGAAGCTAGAAATAGTGTTGAGTTGTTCCGGCACTTGCCTCAATATGAACATGGACCTCAGCTACAATATCTTGAATCAAAATTTTTTCATCTTGATCACATACATCCTTCGGTGTATAAGGTAATATTATTCATCCTTCCTTTATCCAGGTAATACCACTTTTTGTGTTTGGAGAAAAAATTGGTTGAAGATATCGTGAGCTAAATTCAGCTTAGGACATGCAAGACACTTTTTGACTTTCACACTTTTCTATCTAGTTGCAAGAGCTTTTTTTATTTTATAAAATAACAATTAAGATACTTATGAATATATTTATTTGATTTTTACAAGAGTTATTATCTTGTCAATTAGGAAAAGAATCTTGCAATTCAAGAAAAGTATCTTTTATCCCCTCTTCCCACCTGTTTTTGTAGCTTTTGAAATTTTCATTGATTGGTTGGCATGAATTGTCACATTTTAACAAAACTAATTGTGTTAAATGGTTTTCAAAATAATTTTCTTGATTTATGTGACCAAGAAAAGTGGAGAGTTGCATCAAGTAGTCGACAACCAATGTAAAACTTATTAAATAAACATGATATGAATCATTTAATATATTGTGTTAATGCTAGGGCGTTCCTTGGTAGCAACACGTTGTATGACTTGAATACTACGAGAAGTGTGCAAGTGCCGTTGCATTGGCACTTAGATGTGGGCAAAGAAGCTAGTCTATAAAACTAGAATTTAGATAAAAATATAGAATACAAGTTCTCTTACAACAAAATTAATTAAATTAATATATATTAGGGAAATTTACATACATACCACTTTGTTTTATGATATTTACATATCTAACACCCAAAATATTAATATTACATGCCTACCACCCATATACAACTTTAACATCAAATATATCACTCCTATAATTCATTTATATCATTCATACAATCTTATAAACTTTAATATTTCATTCCATGCACCCAAATTTGTTCGATGGGTGACAGTCACGTAATATTAATGTTTTAGGTCTTAGATATGTAAATAGCATAAAATAAAGTGGTATGTATGTAAAACCCCATATATATTATGATTTATAGGAAGATAAATCTTCTATACATTCAAGAAACTAAATGGGTTGAAAGAAGGCTAAGGAGATTAATAGTTTAGGATTTAAACTATGGTATTCAGGTAGAAGTCATATTAGAAATGATATTTGTGTGATTATAGATAAGAGTTTGAAAAATAATGTTGTAGAAATTAATAAAATTGGAGATAGAATTATAGCTTTAAAGATTGCTATTGATGTTAAGATTATTAATATTGCAAGTACTTAATGCTTCTCAAATAGATTTGTATATGTGTTTAAAATTAAAATTTTAGAATGGTTTAGAAAAGTTAATACAAAAGATACTTCTTGAAAAAAAGTTTTATTTAAGGATATTTAAATAGACATGTTGGTAGAGTGGTAGAAGATTTTAAATGCATTTTTAGTGACTATGGGTTTGAATTGACTAATGAAGGTGGTAGGAGCATATTAAATTTTGCTTTAGCTTATGATTTTGCAGTTACTAATACTTTATTTAAGAAAAGAGAGGATCATTTCATCACTTATAACTTATAAGAATGAATTTAATAAAATTTAGATTGTTTATTTTCTTATAAGAAACATAGATCGTTTAGATTGTAAAGATTGCAAGGTTATTCCGAGTAAAAGTTTATGTACCAAACATTGCTTTTTTATTTTAGACTTTAAGATGAAGGAGACAGAATATGAGAAATAAAGTAATATATTATTAGAGGATTAGATGAGGACATTTAAAAAATGCAAACAAAAATATTTTTATTTGTAAGATTCAAGATCTTAAGATTTTGACTGCATGAGGAAGCTAATGTTATGTAGAAAAAAAAATAAGAAGCTTTGTTATAAAAATTGGTTTAGATGTAAAAACTCAAAAAAATTAGGAAAGATATAAAGGGGACCATAAGGAGTTTATGAAAGTAATATGCGATGCAAATAATTTAGCTTTTAATGATTTATATAATAGATTATATACTAAGTAAGGCGAAAAATGTATGCATAAGTTAGCCAAACAAAGAGATAAAAGAAGGATTTTGTTCAAGTGCAGTGCATTAAAGATGAATACAAAAAAAAGCTTTTATCAGAAGATGATATTCAACAACGGTGGATGAGATATTTTCGATTAGCATTTCAATGAAGATTATGAGAATATGATTGATTTTAATGACCTTAGTACCCTAAATGAAAATAGAGATCTTTAATTTTATCGTCATATTAGTAAAATCAAAATAAAGAGGCTTTAAAGAAAATGAAATGAGGAAAATCTATTGGATCTGATGACATTCTAATAGAGGTGTGGAAATGATTAAGAGATGAATGATTTTTTTTTTTTGCTTATGAAACTTGGTAATATTTTTTTGAAGACTAAAAAGAAGTTAGATGAATGAAGGAGTGTGTTGATTTCTATTTTTAAAAAATAAAGGTGATGCACAAGAGTGTGTGAATTATAGGGGAATGTCATACATTAAAACTATGGGAGAGAGTTGTTGAGCATAGGTTATGACGTGATACTAATGTTTCTTAAAATCAATTTGGATTCATGCCGGGTAGGTCTACTATGGTAGTTGTACATTTATTCAGAGGTTTTGTGAAGAAGTATAAAGAGAATAAGGAGGATCTACATATGATATTTATTGATTTAGGGGTTGTTTGGTTTGTTAAAAAAGGAATGTAGCGTAAATGGAATACATTGGAGTTGCTTGGATGAGTGATAGAAAATTCACGTGAATGATTTTTTTTGGATGAGTTTAAAGTAAATTAGGAGAGTGGGTGTATTAGATTTGATATATTTTAAGAAAGATTGAGGTAGACCTAAAAAGACTTTGTTAGAAATTATTAGAAATGAGCTTTCTTTATTTGTTTTAAATGAGAGTTTGACTCTGAACAATACACAATGGAGAAAAATGATTCATGTAGCCGACCCTACGTGGTGGGATAAAGGCTTATTGTTGTTGGTGGTGATTGTGCTTGCCTTGTTTAATTTTGTTCATATTATTTTGCATTTATGGCACTTGTAGTTTGCTACATGTCTTACTCAAAATTCCAGTCCAGGAGAGAACAGATGCTGATTGCTTTATGTTGATACCAAAAAATGCACAAGAGATGCACTTACTTGTTTGCAGATTTCTCAATATTATTTTTATAGAAATGAATTTATACATTTGGTTGTGTTTAGCATATGATTGGCATGTAGTATTATCGCAGCAACTTTAGAAAATATTGGGCTTAATTTAGAAAAGTTACGTACTTTTGATAATGCTTGCACTAATTCCATCTGATTATCCAAGTTACTTGATCCTGTCAATTAATTTAGTAGTCAATTATTTCAAGATTTGGTTTTTGTTATTTTTTATTTTTTATTTTAATCCTAACTCTCGGGAGCCTTTTTTAAATGAGGGGAAAGTGTAGGACATGAAATGAACTAGGACTAAGGAGCTCAATGCATCCAATCAATGGCGTAACCATAGTTGATCTGCAAATGCCTGAAATTTGGTTCCTTAACTTTCCTTCAGTGCAAAGACAATCTTCCTCATTCCTAAAGCATTTTCCTTATCGTTATACTCTTATTATTCAGGGTTTGTTAGGGTTTCTATATATCTTACAAGAGGAAAGTAAAGGAAATAAAATGAATAAGGCACTCAAGCGTTTAAGTCTCTATTTAGTGGCTGTAATAATATTTGAACCACAAAATGGCTATATTTTTATTTCCGTTGCTTTCATTACATCCAAAGACAACCCTCCTTTATGCTAAATCATTTAGCTTGTCATTATCCATTGTAGTTCTTTAGTTCCGGCATCAAGTCCAGAAGGTCTTCTACATGTTTTTCATGTCAATCAAAGGTGCTTAGTTTTCCAGCACCTAAAATTTGTTTTAGGCTTCAAGTCTTCAAATATCTGTAAGAATATACAAAATGAAGGTGTTAGACCGGTCCAGCCGGTCCACACGGGACCGGCTCAGACGAGAAACACGCAAAACAGCTAGTTTTTCCGCTTGGGTGGAGGCCGCGCGCACCGCTTGCCTTGCGGGAGCCGAATGGGAAGCTTTTTTGGGGAAATTAAGAGGGGAATTTGAATGTAGGGACTGTTTAGGGATTTCCTTTTGATTTGTATGCATTAAATAGTTGTTTTTCTTAGGGTTTGGGCATCTTGAATTTGGCAGAAATTTGAGCTCTTAGATTTAGTTAGGTTTTCTTTGGGCTCTAGCGGCGTCTAGAGATTTGGGAGAGATCGATCCTCCTCTCGAATTGAGGATCAAGTGTATCTTGCTGTTTTTATTCATCTATTAGTGAAATACAAGTGTTTTGCTTGGTTTTATTTCAGATTTCCACTCAAATCCCTCTGTTTTTCTGCTGTTTTCGGCTGTAGACAGCAGAATTTCTGCTATTTTCCCGCTGTTTTCCAAATATTGATAGGAAATACTTGAAAACTACAAGTGTTTCCTATCAGAAGGTTTATTAGTCTACATGTGAAGATAACTTCTTCCTCAAGCCCTTAATAGGGATATTATCATTTGGTGCTAATTTTTATTTTGTTGTTTTTAAATTTGTATACAGAAAGATGTCATCTAAATATGTTGAGTCCTTGATAATCAATTCTGTATATGATGTTATGATATAAAATTACTAAGCTGTCATCAAAGTTTAATGAAGTGACTTATATGCACAATCCACAATGAAATTAGGTTGGATATTCAAAACTATTTTCTGTTATAGCTCAACCGCTGTAAAAAAAATAAAAATAAAATAAAAGATCAAAACAAGGTTGGCTCTATAACATAATTAGCATGAAGTGACCTAATGAAACACATAATCGTAACAAATGCACTGCACATGACTTCCAATCGCGTAGTGGCAGCATCACCTGTCCATTGCATGCCTTTGAGTTTCTTAAGCAGTACTGTTTTGTAGCAGAGTTGATTCAAATTGGCTCTATGGTTTTACAGGCTAGATTTTTCTAACGGCATTGAGTTATGCTAGATTTCATCAAACTGTGACCTGCGCAGATTTTATAGTTGACAGCTGTCTCTTTCTTGTGAAATCCTCGTTGTGCCATGGTTGAATTTTCTGTAAATTGTTATTAATATTGAACTTCCTGTCTCATAAAATTTTTTATGAAAATGCTGTGCCTGCCAGCACAACATTGCTTTCTGTTACACCATACGATTTAACTTGTCAACCTTGTCAGGTAGGTTTGCAATATTTAACAGGGTCTACCTCTGGTGGAAATGCTCGGTGCAAGGAAATGCTTCTTGCGTTTCAGGAGGCTGTTATGGACTACTCTACACCGCCAGAAAAAACTCCTGCTCGAGATTTGACGTCAAAAATTAGTAGTTATGTATCATTCTTAATTGCGTGCAGGCCACTTTCTATCAGCATGGGAAATGCTATCAGGTTTTTGAAGAATAGAATTGCAAAATTAGATCATAACATATCAGAATCAGAAGCAAAATCTAATCTCCTATCAGATATTGACCGTTTCATAAATGAGAAAATAATAGTTGCTGACAAAGTTATTGTTCACCATGCTGTTACAAAAATTAGAGATGGTGATGTACTACTCATTTATGGGCATTCAACTGTTGTGGAAATGATATTACTGCAAGCACATGAGCTAGGAAAACAGTTTCGAATTGTTGTAGTTGACTCTCGCCCTAAACTTGAAGGGAAAGCTTTACTTCGAAAGTTGGTTATGAAGGGCCTCAGCTGTACATACACACACCTAAATGCAATTTCATATATCATGCATGAAGTCACACGTGTTTTCCTTGGGGCTTCTTCAATTCTATCTAATGGAACGATTTATTCAAGGGTTGGGACAGCTTGTGTTGCAATGGTTTCTCATACTTTCCGAGTTCCTGTTCTAATATGTTGTGAGGCTTATAAATTTAATGAAAGGGTGCTACTTGATTCAATTTGCTCTAATGAACTTGGTATGTGTACAATTATTTTCACATTGGGTTTTATCTTGTTCAGTTAATTTCTTTCAGTGATATATCTTTTATTTTCTTTAATACACAGGTGATCCAGATGTAATCTCGAAGGTTCACGGGAGAGATGGTTTGAATGATCTGGAAAATTGGTCTGATCATGAGAATCTTCAGCTTTTGAATCTCTTGTAATTTGCTAACAGCTCATTGATTGATAAACTACCATTTTGGTTCATTAGATTTATCTTAGATCACTTATTTTTATCTGTTGATTGACAGTTACGATGCAACTCCTTCCGACTATGTGTCAATGATAGTGACCGAACATGGAATGGTGAGTACGATTCAACCGGAGACTAATTTTCGTGATATTGTTTTGAATGTATGAAATGAGAAGTTGGACTTTTTTTTCTTAACTCATATGCTTTCTTGCTGTGCTATGAGAAGTAAATTCATTGCATTTAACAACCTAATTAACATGCAGAATCTGATCTGATGATTTCTAGGTGAAATTATATGAGGATATGTATGCAGTAATTATTACTTGTGTTCAAACACAAGGTGGTTTGACCAATTATTTTCCTATTTCAGTTGGATTACATCAAAGATTAGCCTTAAGCCCATATTTTTTTTGCTTTGGTCAGGAATGTTCTCACTAGATATTTGTAAGAGGTTGTACCTTGGTTTATGCTTTTTACTGATGATATCCTTCTTGTTAATAAGACTAGAGAGGGAGTTGAAGATAAACTGAATATATGGAGTGTAATTTTTGTAGTAATAGATCTAGTGGGGGGATTGTGACTTTGGGCTATCAAGTCATTAATAAGAGTACATGTTTTAGATATCTTGGGTCTATTGTTCCGTGTAATGGTGAAATAGATGGGGATATTATTAGTAGAATTCAAGTTGGATGGTTGAAGTGGAGGAAAGCACCAGGCTTGTTGTGTGATAGAAAAATGCCCCTCAAACTTAAGGCAAAAGTCTATAAGATGGTGGTGAGAGCTGTAATGCTTTATGGTATATAATGTTGGCAATTAAAAGAGAAGCATAATATTAAGTTATGCGTTGCAGAGATGAGGATGCTCAGGTGGATGAGTGGCTTTACTCTTGGAGATAAGATATGAAATGAGCATATACTTGAAAAGGTTGGAATAGCTCCAGTGGAAGATAAGATTAGAGAGAGTCTCCTTAGATGGTTTGGCCACATAAAACGGCGGCCTTCCGATGACCCAGTTAGGGAAGTAGATGTATTAGATTTGGCTTATGTTAAGAAAGGTAGAGGTAGATATAAAAAGATTTGATTAGAAAATATTAGAAATGATATTTCTTTATTAGATTTATATGAGAATTTGACTTTAACAGGACACAAAGGAGAAAAAGGATTCATGTAGCCGACCCTACGTAGTAGGATAAAGGCTTGATGTTGTTGTTGTTATTATTACTGCTTTTTAAATTATGCTGCTCGTGCTTGTCAAGAATTGCACTTGCATCTTTGTAATTTCTTACTGTGCATAATTATTGTTAGCGGTATTCCAAATATTTGTGTTTGACTTTGTACTCCCTTTGTCTAATGATTTTTTATTTTATTTTATTGTTTTGCAGATTCCTCCAACCAGTGTTCCAGTCATCTTCCGAGAATATGGAAGAGATCAATTGTTTTTTTAAGGTTTCACTTTGCAACCAGCACTTTCAGCTTTTCTGTTTTTCTGAACTGTCACGTTCTTTCTTTTAAGATGAAATGGAATTGACATCCAATGATTTGAGATGTGAGTTTTCTCATATATTCCATTTCTCTACTTGAATAATGAGATGTCCATGCTACATGTTCTCCTGCTAGATTATATTTCTGCCAATTTGACATTGTGAAGAGTGCATTTTTTTTTATTGTGAAGAGTGCAGTTGTTTGCCTCTCCTGGTAATTTTGATGGCCAACATGTAACATAATATTTTCCTCTTTTGATTAATAATTTCTAATGTCATTTCTTGAACCATATTTTTTTGCTTCTGTTCCTTCTTATTTAATCTATAACTAATCTCATTGTAGTCTAAGGAAAATTCTATCGTTTGTGATTGTGTGATGTGACTCGTTGGACACACCAAAACTTTTTTAATCTTTTAGTTTGTCTGCCCCGATGCAGAAATTGCAGCGTAATGCTATCAGTTCATTAGTGCTTTTAAAAAGTTTTCCATGAGTAAAATCAATGATAAGCAGCGTGACTGTGAAGGGTCTGTAGCTCCCAGGAGTTGGAAAATTCAATGTGCATGTTCCGTTTTAGGTATCTGTGCAAATTAAAGTTTTGTTTGGAATGATTTTTTTGACTGTTTTTGTGATAAAAAAAAGCTGTTAATAAAAATAACATATATTTAAAAACAAAATTTTTATTGCTGTTTCATATTTGTCTTTAAATAATTATTTTTAAAATTGTGGCTGAAACTGGAGCTTTAAAAAGCAAAAATATAAAGCTACCCCACACAAAGCCTAGAAGGAACATACGAGATTTAAATTTTTAGGTGTCTGATACAAAATAGTACTGTCGTTTTACAAGGAATTCGGAATACCTAAAGAAGGCTTATTTGTGGTGTTGCCCAAATAGTGTGAAATCCAAACTTGCTGTGTGGAAGATTTGCGATCCCTCCTTCGCTTGTTCCCTCTCCAATGCCGCCATCAACGATCAATGAACTTGCCTTCCACGCTGCACCAATGCTGACCTGCTTGCCCTCCAGTGCTAGCGTCAAAAAGCGAGATAACCTCTCGTGCTGTTGCACACAAGCGGCATAGCTTGTAACACCAACCGGGAATCCCTACTGCCTAAGTTTCAACAAGTGGCTTTAGCTTTAGTGCTTTACCTCTCCCCAACAATTTGGATCTGTGACTGCCTCTTGCACAATCGTTGACCAACCATCTTGCCATCCGCCCTATATATATATCTTTTCATGTGTTTATAACTCGTATTTTGAAGTTATATAGCCAATCAAGCCAAAAAAAGAATTTACCTGTATGAACTTTGTAGTAATCAGATAGCCATAAACAATAAAAATATATTTTATATTTTACACTGTTCTTAAATATATGAAATTATAATACTTGTGACAAAACAGGCCCTTAGATGCCAGTAAAAGCTTTACTAAGGTTTGTTTGGATGGGTGAACCTTTTAGATAAACTATATTTATATGAAAGTTGTTTTAGGTTCTACTTCAAAATAAGTTGGTAAGGTAAACGTATTCTAGCTTGAAGTTCTTTTCATTTTTTTCTTCCTTATGAAATCATTGTAAAAATAAGTAAGAAGTATATTTATTTATTTTATGTCATATTGTTTTGTATTTATTTAGTTTCTAGGGATTTGGGGTTGAGTATTTTGGTGGTAATATCTGTTACCGTTTATACATTTATTAGATAAAAGAATGAGAGTTGGTACTGTGGCTTTGGATGCTATTGTCTTCACTTTGTGTGATATCATTGGAAAGGAACTAGTGCTCTTCTAATAAGGGCTAGAGGGCATGGAGCTAGAGGTTTTTCCTCTCACGTTTTTCAACAGTGAGAAGTAGGTTTCTTTCTTGAATGCTAAACCATCGGATGGAGGTAGAGATTTGGAGTTGGCTTTGATTGGTTATGCAATTGGCAAAATTCTCTTTTATGGTACTCTTCATCTGTCACGACCCGTCCCGGATGCTCGATCTAACGAGGCGGGTATGAAAAGTCGGACGATAGTACATTTCCAAAAGTATAAAATAACTCATCATCAAAACTTTTTCAATAAACTGAAGAGCCACTAAACAAAAAATCTATTTTACCTGTTGTCAATTGCACCTCTTCTTCTGTAAACATGTTCTTCTCTTTCAGCCATTACTTCTCTT